CGGTTTTTGACGATTGCTGCATTAGGTCCGAAGGTGACCGACGAGATCGATCCGCGCGCGGAATGTTCGTTGACAGCGCATGCATTTTAGGTGGGACTAAGTGATGATGTCGCAGGTCAGGGGCGCCTGAGTTGCGAACTTCTCTGTTGGCTTTTGCGGCGACGTTCCGATTTGCTTAGTAGATTTCTGGGCCAGTCTCCACTACTCTTCGTGCCGGCCTGTTTTAGGCGAGGACCTCCCAGGTCTCCTAGTTGGTCTGCAGTCGCTTCAGAAAGTTCCTCAGTACCCTTATAGCGTTGTTTTCGACCTCCCGGTCGGCGAGCTTCCGTAGCGACACCTCCGTAGAAGTGTCGTCCGAGTAGACGTACATCGACTGTCCTCACGAGGTGGCCGCGCCGTCGCAGTTGCAGTTACCACAGCAGGCCGTGGATGCTGAGAATTCCGGTCCGTCCTTGGACTTCTGTGTCCCGTATCCTGTCCTGCCATCTCAGCCTCAGTATTCTGCGGAGGCAGCCAGGATGAAGGTGGTTCAGGTCTCCGCTCCATACAGAATTGCCCTCAGGAGGATATATTTTTGCATCATCAGCCTGGTGTTCAAGTGGAGGCTGTGGCGGTTCTATACGGAGTTCTGCAGCCGGCTGAAAGCTTGCCTGGCTTTTAAGATCCCGTGAACCACTTAATCGTCGATGTTGATGCAGCGAATGTGCTGCCTAAGTAGGGGGAGATGTTCGCAGTCTTCAGCTCGGTGCTGTTGACATGAATGTGAGGAACACTGGGTGCTGCATTGAGTGGCGGTTGGTGCATGACCACTGTTTTCTTCATACTGATGATAAGTCCGAAGTTGGCACACCCGGCGGCAAAGGGCTCCACGCTCCATTGCATGTGCTCTTCGGTCGTGGTGTTGAGAGCGCAGTCACCAGAGGAAGGCAAATCGTGGACTGAAGTCGTAGGGAGACGCGTTAGGGTCTGCATGCGCCGGCTGTCGAGATGTCTGCCGGTCCTGTAGGCAATGCTGGTCCCCGGACGCTCATCACGGTAGGCGTCCATCAGCATATCAGAGAGCATGAGACCGAGATTAGGGGCGAGTATGCAGCCATGCTACACCGTTGGTTACTGCGGTTGCCTCGGAGACGGTCTTATTGGCCGTGACGCGCGCCATCATCCAATCGTGGAACTGACGATCCGTGCTGCGGCGTCCGCCGAAACTTAAGCGCTCTGCAACCCTGCTCAACTAGTGCGGGCATGTAGTATGTAAGCTGGACTGCCCAATCGGGAACGGATTCTTGGTGTTTTATGTTGGAATATGTGAATGCTCCTCGATTCTGATACCCAAAGTCTGGCCGCGCGCAACCTTCATCAGTACAACGTGGATGTCTGCTGCCTGTCTGAAGTCCGACTTCCTGACTCAGACTCTCAGGAAACAAAGGTCACGTGAGCCAAATCACGCTTCACCCAGTACCACAACGCCAATGCGACTCTTCTGATAGACACGATGTGGTGGTCACCCTCTCGTAACAAGCGAACTCTGCATTACTTGTTTGGGAACTAGTCGATGACCAAGGGACAAACGTGCGACTGAAGGGTAACTTCGCGAATTTGTCTGTCGTTTCTGGGTACTCATTAACGTCAGCTGCTGAACAGCAGGGTAGAGAGGCGCTTTACTTGCAGCTTCAGGCGTAAATTGGAAGACTCTCTCGCCGCCATCTGCTGATTGTTGCTTGGACTGGAATGGTCGAACTGGACCTGGTGACTTCACAAAGTCATCTTATTGGCCGCTTTGAGCTTTGCTCTTGATTTGACAGTAACAAGAGATTGCTGATCTTTGCTGATCAGAACCGACGGTTTGTCGCAAACACGTGTTCCCAGCATCGCCACAAACATCTGCTGACCTGATATGCAAACGGAAGTCATACGGTTAGTCAGACCGACCATATTCTGGTCGACTCAAGGTTTGCCAGCTGGGTTCACGATAGCAGATCGATGCGTGGTGCCGAGGTCGCAACGCCCATGGGTCGGACCATGTCCTCGTCCGTACACCCTTGAAAGTTCACCTCTCATCCGCGCTAAAAACGCCACGTTCTAGACTTCTCGATGTCGCAGAAATCCGGCAACTCAGCACTGCCGAGGCCCTGAGCAGAGAAATCCGGTCCTGCTTTACAACCCAAGCCAACGGAGAATACAGTAAGCAGTGGTCGTCACTAAAAAAACGTCAGTCTATGGGGCAGCTGAGGAAATTTTTGGACATACCCAGCGACGCTGCAGTGACTGATCAGCGGAAGAACCCTTCAGTTGTCTGCTCAGACGGCTCGAGACAGGTCCCCTAATGATGATTTCTCTCGCCAGCTACGGAAGATCACAGCAAAGCCGGTTAGAGATGACCGGCAGCAATATTTGGCTGAAATAACGACCTCCATGGAGCTGGCTTCGAACTTTGGTGAAACTCGAAAACTCTATCAACTTATCCGCCACTTTAATTCTAAGGCCTCTGCACTGAGTGACACTGTTCGCGACGTCATTGTCGACTTTATTGCTGAAATCCCGGCCGAAGTCAAACACTGGCGTGAGCACTTCGAACTTCGATACCAAACCCACCACGCCCTTACTCTCCTCTGCAGCGGAGTTTCTTCCCTCTCCAAACTATGCAGTGTCATGCAACCACTCTTCTGAGGGGGGAAGTCACCGATGCTATACGAAAGCTACGCAAGAACAAGGCACCCGGAGGGGATGATATACCTGCTAAAATGTACAAGTCTTGTGTCGACGCTATGGCACTCTGGCTCTGTAGGATGATTGAACAAACGTGGAGAGACGAGGTTGCTCCTGATGACTGAGGCCTGAACATCCTTGTACCTGTCCTTAAGAAGGCAGATAAGACGAGATGCAAGAAATACCGCGGTATAAGCCTCGTCGACGTTGCAGTGAAGATGCTCGTTATTGTATTTCTCAAGCGATTCCAGGCTGTGGGTGACTCTAAGGTAAGGCCGAGCCTGGTCGGATTTCGTGCTGGACATAGATGTGCGGACCAGGTATTCACATTGAGGCGCATTCGCAAATTCCGCCACAGCTAACAGCAACCGACGGCCGTCTGTTTGTTGACTTTGCCGCCGCGTTCGATTCCGTCCATCGTGAGTCCCTGTGGCGGATAATGGCGCTAGATGGCGTACCGCCAAAAATCATTGCCATGATCAAGGCCTATTACCGCTCCGTCACTGCGCGATTTCTGGTCCATAATAATCTTTCCCAGTCGTTCCATGTCCATTATGGATTTCGACAGGGTTGTATCCGGTCGCCCAATCTGTAAGACTAGGCTATTGATTGGATTCTTGGAAGAGCCCTACAAGGTTTTGGCAGTACTGAGTTTGTACCCGGACACTGGCTGACTGATCTCGACTATGCCGATGATATTGCCTTACTGGCTTCAGGCTTTTGCGATATACAGTCTATAGCGTCACGGGTAGGAGGTACAATTCTGAGCATCATTGTGGCCGACTAGATCAGGCATAATCGTAGCCGTAGCAAGTTTTAGTTCAAATTTCGAGTTTTCCACAAAAGTTATAGGTGGTTTGGAATTCAGACTGCTCGAGCCCTATGCCACCTATCTGCGCACTGTTTTCATATCTTCTTGGTCGGGCCAGGTTAACGTTATAGTTCTCCGACGCAAAACACCCCCTGGTCGAGTGTTGCAAAAAAATTAGAAAATGCTACAGTCGATTGCAAAATACTCATTACCTGCATCTGATACTCGTTTAGTACGACCTGGAGTCATTTTTAGACTATCGGCGGATTTTACTCACGTTCAATGCCTATCAACGTGAAACGAGTTACTTTCCATAGCTGACATTTCGACCAGCCAATATTTGAAGAATGGGTTGTAAAAAATGTGTAATGCATAGAGCAAGGTTGTGGTGCCATGAGATGGCGCACGTCTGATGATCATTGACCACACCAAATATGCCAGCCTGCTGTAGATACCTATGTCCGAATTCCTGATCCTCAGTTTTATGGCGCAACTTTTGAATGAAATATGCGATAATACCGACGGCAGTCGGCGGTCTTCCGTGCTACGTCTATGAGCGCGACACTACAGTTGCAGAAGGTGTATGTTTTTGATGGTGAGAAGTTAAAGCCCAAAGTCAATTCCTATCATGCTGCAGTGGCAGATGGCGCGTTATAACAGACCGCCAGACTTTCATTCAGACACATCTGCTTTGACTCTGCAATAATAATAGCTCGACCGTAGCGTACGACGACGTTCACCGTGTGCTCCACAGCAAGATGAAGCAGACACGGTGACTTGCGCGTGAATTACTGTACAGTGAAATTAGACTTGCGCAGCATCTGCCGCACTCCTCCTTCCTACCTGGGCCCGGTGTCAAGACGGAGTCAAGAAGACCGGGGACGGGGAGGGCGCAGGTGGATGGCGTGACCAAACCCGCACTTGGGGGTTTTACTCCACACCCCCTGGTCCACACAGCAGATGACCAGGATTTTTACCTACAACAACAGAAAAAACGTGGTGGACAGCCATGTACACGACCTGTATACCCAGCGGGAGCACAAGCGTATCTGCTGTTTGACAACCAGGTACCACAGAACCGTCAGCCTGCACCAGGCTGCGTGGGCCATGTTTTGTTTATCATGACATAGCAGACGCCCACAAACCTTCGGAACCAATCTGAGATAATAACATCAGCTGAAGGCGAAGTTTTCGTCTTGTTCTAGGGCCCTACTTGCTTAGGGTGCCGCGAATTGGCAAGCCTGAGGTCTTCGCTTGGTGATGCGACTGTAATAATTCTGATTCAGCTAGTCATAACGAAGCGACTGGGTCAACCGGGGAACCACACTTCTTTGCCCAGGAAGTTTGGGTAGGATCCCTTAAAAAGTATTTATTTCGCAAAGCGCATAAAAGGGTTTTAAGTCGATTGCAGAAGACTCCAAGTCCTGATGAACCGAAATGTCGACTGTTATGGTGCAAACCCCCAAGCATAGGAGCAGTCGGAAATTGTTAATTTAACCACAGAGTCAACGGTGGAATTTCTTCCAAGGACAATGTAAGCGACTGTCAGCTCAGCCAAGATCGTTAGCCAGCCTGAGCTCCCCAAACGCCCTTTTAAGGGGGGATCTTTTAACTGCTATCACTATTCCCGAAGGAGCGGGTTTGTAGCCTTTTCCAGCCTCTAGCGTTACTTGACCCTTCATGTCAGGAATAAATCACTGACACAATAACAAAACTGTGCAGAACGCGGGTGTCTGGACCTCTACCTGCCTGTCTTCAAGGAGAGATGCAACGCAATGTAACTTCGTCCACATTCTTGCAATGCTTTTGACGTCGTCATAAACAGGCGGTTCCAAAGGGTCTGTGATGCAATGATTAAACCTAACGAAACCGAGTTCCAAGCTGGATGTGCCGACTACATATCCACTGCGATGAATCCACAAATTGCAATACCAATACTGGCAACCGTCAACATCCCTGTATCGCCCGATGCCGATCACTGGCGGTTTTTGTGGCCGATAATGCAGCTAGACAACGTGCCAACAAACAATATTACTGCAAGACCCACTGTCCGGGTTTCTGCCCAGCAAGGCTGTCTGACGCTCAGCTGAGTCATCGATACAAATGCGACCGGCCCACCGACAGGAGTCTCAAGAACGTTGCATGCTGTTTCGAATTTGCACTAGAACGCTGACCAAACGATGTCGACTACGCAAAGCTCGAGCTGGATCTAGACGGATTTTCAGTTCCTGTGACGAGATTAAACAGTCCATCTGGGAGGGAGTTTGTTGTTCTCCATATGTAATTGGAAAATTTACGACTCTATTCAGGAAATTACCTGTCATACGATAAAATTAAAACTTAATATCGAACACGTCGATGTCGCTCACTGCAAAGTTTCCCCACATGCCTAGCGACGTGCCGAAATTTCCCTTAATTAGGATTTCCTTGTCATACGACGTGGACAGGCGTAGGAGCTGTTCAACATCGCAGTCGCCCAAATAATAACTGCTATGGGCAAGTATAGATTTGAAGGGACCGTTCGATAAGTCTGGTCTGAAGCTGGTAGCACATATTTATTCTGACTGAATGCCTTTTTCGGGTGGACCAGATTCCTCTAACTTCTGTTGCTTAATATTCCTGCACCCCAACAACCCCCAGTTTTCCTTACCGATCGCGTTGATCCTGTTAAAAAATAGTTGAGTTACCCAACTTTTCCGTTTTCTGTTTGGTTATAAAATTTGTCTCGGGGATTGTCGATTTAGCACTCATATTGGCATTTAGCATACCAGAAGTCACAAAAAGTGTGTTAAGTGACCCACTGAGGTGCCAAGTACTCGTGGTTGCGTCATACGGTAGCAGAAACATGGGCGATTGTCGCGTTTTTTTAACTACTACCTCTGTTGGGTATATTTTGGCCTGATTTTCACCTTGTTATCTCTTGTCTTTTTGGAAGTTTTTCTGGTCTCCATTAATGGTGCCTGCTGGTAACTTAGGTGAGTCATTTTCACAGGGGGCGCACATGGTCTGCCGTCCAACTCCGGTTATTATAGTATTCTCAAGTCCTCAAAAATGGAAGTTCCGGGCGGTAATTTGAGGAAGAGAAAGACCTCTCCAGAACAGTGCTTTTGTGTTGCTGTGGTTTCGGAGAGCATGGTCGACTAACCGCTGTCAAAACGTTTAACGCAGAACACCCCACTAACGGCTTGACAATGTTAGGTTGCCTGAGCTCTCCGAAACACCAACAAAGCGGTAACTGTGTTCTGGATAACTCTTTCTTGTCCCTAAAGTATGACAGTTTTACAGCGTCCACTATGAGGTGTTCCTTATTTACGTTCATGGGAGTGCATTATGCGGTTTAGGGAACATCTGTTCGAGGACCGAATGCGATTTCAGCGAAGTCCGACGTGTTAGTGAAATCGGCCAAGAGTGTGTTGAATGTACCAAAGTCACTGCTAGTAAAGTCAAGTTCTACGGAGGCCGGAAATTTTGCAGCTGCAGTGGCTTTATGAGGCCTGAGGCAGCAGCACATCCGATGCGCTTGGTAAATTAAAGAAAAAAGTTAGCGACACTGCTGATTTACAAGGAGAGGACAAACTGCTGGCACCCTCACTTAAGCAGTTGTGTCTTGATTAACTGCGGCTCCGAACAAAAGGACTTTGTATGATGGAGCAAGGGTTTTCTCGAATTCAAAAAACTGTACTCAATCAGAAGACTGTTTACTGAATGCACATCCGGCAGACGAGGTCTGTCTGTCTGCAATCTTGCGTTTAACGTGGAACATGGACAGCAAAATATCTCATAACCGAACTCCACGAATTTATAACTGTTCATCAACAACGGTCGCAGTTTGAGCGAAGAGTATAACACGGACTATGCGGGCGGGTCTAATCCAAGCATATATTTATCATCATTTGCTCTCCCGAAACTGTCGATGCAAAACACGCTCCGCGAAAACGGCTATGCAAAGAGATTCATCCTTTGGAGTATTATAGGACGTGCCACAAAGCCCACCGTTGCAAATGCAGAAAAGAAAGACTTGTTTCTAAGACTGCCTTTTCTAGGAGACGCAGAAAGCCAATCAGTGAAACGACTTCTAAGGACGGCAATCCCGAATGCCCTCCCCGTGGCGAACTTGCGCATATTCCTTGCAAACTCTCCCCTTCTATGGTTGGGGGGCAAAGACCGACTGCCGTTGCAGGCCACATCGATGTGTATTTATTCATTCACCTGTTCCTGTGGAGCGGAATACATTGGCCGTACAACGAGACGTCTGGAAAAGAGGGTAAGCGAACACTTGCCTGTCTGGCTAGGTAAAGGGGAAATCGATGGATTTCGAGTTCACTTTGCGCACATCTGATCGATACGAACCACAAAATCAACGCCAATGAATCCTCTTAAGTTATCTACCGGGCGCCGGCGCACTACTCTAAAGGCCTACGCAAACGAGTGCGAGCAACGGCCGAGGCGGTGGATATTCGACTAGCAAATCCAGCGCTCTGTTGCCAGAAGACGCTGATACCGGCATTCTTTCATGGCCGACTCCAAGTTGTGACCGCACGTCGCCCCAACGCTCTGAGAACATTCGTACGAACTCCGCGTGTTTGACATACAGACAGCGTCCAAAAACTAATCCGAACCCTTCCCCCTGCCCCAGCTCTGCCGTCCTTAACACACTGACTCCATCATGCAGGCGGCGTAGGAAGGAGTCTAATTAACCCTAACCCCAGAGACATTTAAAATCCTGTTTATAACTCACAAGTCCTTTATCCATGCACTTGTATTTGCCTGACGATGAATTACCGAAAACATATCTTCGCCAACTGACTTTTCGATCGTGATACTGGAATTTTCATAGAATTCATCTTAAAGTTGATGTGAACATCAAAAAAGCGACGCACACGAAGCAACTGTAAAAAAGAATGTTGACTTTTATGCACGCACTCTTATGATAACTGTTTTGTTTCATATTATGTTTATCCATTGGTATTCATTTCCCTACCTTTTATTCATTCAATTTTGTTTAAGTCGGTGTTTTTTTAACAGTCACGTGGTACGTTTCTCACCCGGAGTACTTAGTTTAATTTTCCGTTTCAATTGCATGTGACACTCCAGTAGCAGAATCCTCCTTGCGTTCTGACACTTTTCTGTCTAAAGGCGACGGTTACATCGAGCAGTCTACTGGCGCTGCAGTAAGCCTGGTTTAATACGATGCGCATGTAGCGTGGGACTGGGCTATCACTTCTAGTGAGCTACTTACGTATTATACATCGTATGTGTCCTATGAAATAACGTTAGTTGTCGACAGTATCAAGCTTGGTGCCCCAGGTAGGCCGAATATTGCTCTGTTGTCTTTAATTTTGCCTGCTCTTGCTTGCTTGCCTTTGCCCGCTTGCCTGTGTCCGTCTCTGTTGTAAGGTGAGTGCCGTTCTGTTGAATACCGTTCTGCAAATTATTACGCTCACCGTTTATTTTTCAGCAACCAGTTCACTTGGAAAGTGATGGGGAAACTCTCCTTCCTGTCTTTCTACCCTTCCGCCGTCACCCCTCCCTCCTCTAAAATTCCTACGGCAGAGCGACAGCGCTCACGCAGACGGCCCAGGCTAACTCGATTTGGACTCCCACTAAACAAAGTCGCAGTCCATAGTGGAGCTGGCCAGTCGTCTGAGACAACTGAGCAGCCCTATTTATGGCGAGCACTGCTCACCTCCGCAAGGGGGAGGGGGTTAGAAAAGGTGCCTTATACAAATGCTGGGATCACGTCCTCTACGCGCTGACCGTGGTGCATAGACGTAAAACACCCAGTCGAAGCAATCAAACAAGAAACAATAATCTCTCTCTTTTCCCTCATCATTATCCTCCCCGTCGCCCCACATCACAGGCTGATAGGGTGAGTCCGCTCAATCTGGCAATCTGGAATGTTCGTTCCCTTTTAGACAATCCGAGGAGCAACTGGCCGGAATGGACGACGCTATTGGCTCGTGAACTTGCGCGCCACAAGGAGGACACCGCCGCACTCAGCGAGGCCCGGTTCTCCGAACAAGGCCAACTGCAGAAGATGGATGCCGGCTAGACCTTCTTCTGGAGCGGTTGCTCCGGGGCAGAGCGACGGGCTGGGGGCGTCGCCTTTGCCATCCGGAACGACATTGTTGGAAGACTGCCCTGTCTGCCGCAGAGCATCAACGATCTGATGAGCCTCCGCCTGCATCTCCGGGGAGGCCAATTCGCCACAACCGTCAGCCTCTACGCCCCGCCGATGACCAGCCCTGACAAGGGCAGGAACAAATTCTACGAGGACCTGCACGTTCTCCAAGCGTCTGTGCCGAAGGCGGATTAGGTGACTGTCCTTGGAGACTTCCATGCCCGCGTCGACACAGACCATACTGCCTGGAGAGGAGTGCTGGATCCCCACGGTCTCGACGGTTCCAACGGCAATGGCCCGCTACTCCTACGTACCTGCTCAGAACATTGCCTCATTCTGACCAACACCAACTTCCGTCTCCCGTTGCGAAAGACGACCACCTGGATGCACCCTCGGTCGCGACTCTGGTACCTGCTGGACTTTGTCCTCGTCCGAAGGCGAGATCAGGCGGGCGTGCTGACGACAATAGCGATCCTGGATGCTGACGGGTGGACCGACCACCACCTCGTCATCTCCAAGATGCGAATTCGCCTACAGCCTTGTAGGAGACCTCAAGGTAAGCGAGCTCCAAGTAAGCTGAATATTGCTTTGTTGTCTTTCCCTGCTCACCATCTGTATTTCAGTAATGAGCTAGCCCAAAGCCTAACCAGCATTCCAGTCGCCGCCGCCGCTAACGAGAACGCCCTCGTGGAGAACCGATGGTGTCCACTGCGGGACACAGTCCAGTCGACGACTCTGGATGTCATCGGCCGCGCACGTCGAGAACATCAGGAATGTTTCGATGACGACGCCGCTATCATCAATCTGCTCGCAGAGGAAAGTCGCCTCCGCAAAGCACACGTCACTGGCACCTCTGACGACGACAAAGCAGTTTTCTACCGTAATCACCGTCTTTTACAACACCGGCTGCTGTAGGTGCCGGACGTCTGGACGACTCGCAAGGCCGATGAGATTCAAGGATTCGCGGACTGCAACGAATGGAAGATTTTCTTCGCCGTGGTCAAGGTTGTCTACGGTCCCACAGCCAAAAGGACTGTTCCTCTTCTCAGCGCCGACGGCAGTACCCTGCTCCCTGAGAAGAAACAAATTCTACAGCGATGGGCCGAGCAATTCAGAAGCGTCCTCAACCGTCCCTCCACCATCTCCGACATCGCAATCGCCCGTCGGTCTCAAGTGAAGACCAACGCCGAACTCGACCTCCGCCCTCTCTCCACAAAACCATCGGGACCGTGAAGCAGCTCTCCAGCGGGAAAGCGCTGGATCGGACGCGACCCCTGCTGAGATTTACAAGCACGGTGGCCCCCAACTCATCGATCATCTGACGGCGTTCTTCCAGGTGATGTGGCGTCAAGGAGGAATCCCGCAGGATTTCAAGGACGCCACAATAGTTCATCTCTACAAGCGCATAGGTGACCGCCAAATGTACGACAGCCGCCGAGGCAATTCCCTGCTAAGCATCGCCGGGAAAACGTTCGCTCGCATCCTTTTCAACCGCCTGAACAGCGATTTGGAATAGGCTCTCTTGCCGGAAAGCCAGTAGGGCTTCCTCCGTCATCGTGGGACCACGGGCATGATCTTCGCCGCCCGTCAACTGCAGAAGAATTGTCAGTAGATGCGGATCCACCTGTACTCAACCTTCGTGGATCCGATGAATACCTTCGACGCGGTGAATCACGAAGGACTGCGGATAATCATGTAGAAATTCGGCCGTCGCGAACGATTAACTTAAAAGGTGCGTTAGCTCCACGATGGCATGACGGCAAGCCTTACGGACAGTGGAACCGTCTCAGAGGCATTTGCAGTGACCAATGGAGTGAACCAAGGCTGTGTCCTTGCGACTTCTCTCTTCACTCACGTGTTCTCTGCCATGCTGCTGGACGCCCAACATGACGAACGTCCTGGTGTCCGCATCGCCTACAGGGCGGACGGCCACTTCCTAAAGCACAGAGGGGTGCATTTCTAGTCACGTCTTTCCACAACCATCGTCCATGGACTTCTCTTCGCTTACGACTGCGTCCTCAGTGCCACCTCGGAAGGGGACATGTAAATGAGCATGGATCTCATCGCCGCCTGCGAGAACTTCGGCCAGGTCAATAATACAGAAAAGACGGTGGCCATGCATAAACCGCCGTCTGACGTTGCCTACGTCGCACCCCAAATCAACGTGAACGGCGCCCAGCCGCAAGTTGTGGACAACTTCATCCACCTAGTCAGCACCCTCTCCCGCGCCACCAAGATCAGTGATGAAGTAGCCCGTCGGATCTCCGAAGTCAGCCAAGCCTTCGGCCGTCTGCAAAGCACAGGTTGGAGTCGCCACGGTCTCCACATCAACACCAAACGGAAGATGTACAATGCGGTCGTCTTGCCGACGCTGCTGTATAGAGCGGTGACCTGGACGGTGTACAAGAAGCAGACACATAGCCTTTCTCGTTTCCACCTCACTTGTCTTCGCCGGGTATTGAAGTTGAGGTGGCAGGACCGGATCCTGGACACGGATGTACTAGAGCGGACAGAAATCCTCAACATCTGCGCCATGCTGAGACAACTGAAACTGCGCGGGGCGGCCACCTCGTGCGGATGGACGACGAGCGGCTACCTAAACGGTTCTTCAATAGAAATGTCACCATGGGTTCCTGCCGACAAGGAAGTAAAGTTCGGCACTAAAAGGATACTCTGTAAATCTGCCTAAAGCACTTGCAAATCAACCCGGCCGAATGGGAAGACCTCGTCCCGGACCGACCGTCCTGGTGGAGAACAGTAAAGACCGACGCGTCAATCTACGAAGTCAACCGCATCACTACCGCCAAAGCCAAACGCGAGGCTCGCAAATCCTAACTGCTCCCACCTCTAAACGCCAAAGCTCGACCGCCCCAAACCGCCCACGAAGTCAGTGGACGTTCCGGGCATCAGTCGGACTTAATGGACGTCTTCGTAGCAACTGCAGCACCCCGACGACGCCACCCGATGTCTCCTCGTCCACCCCTACCGACGACAATCAGCATTGGCCGCACTCGCGAGACCCCACTACCACCATCCTCCTTTTCCTCTTCCTTCTCCTCCTCCTCCTCCTCCTCCTCCTCCTCCTCCTTATCCTCCCCCTCCATTGCCTCGACATCCGCTGCAGCGGCCCCGTACCCACCGCCACAGCACAATATTCCGACAAACCAACAAACATCAACCTCCCCACCGTCAACGTTAGCGATGCGAACTCGATCCATACCTGTTCTCATTGCTACCGCGACCTAACCCCACACATCGCCCTGGTCGGTCACTTGTGAATCCATCGCACACAGACTGGCGAACCAGTGCCTAGAGCACCAACCTGCACTCGCCGCATTCGCCTCCACGGTCCAAACTGCCCCCACACATTTACTTACCGCATGGGTCTATTCGGTCACATGCGTACCCATGAGAGCGGAATTAATCGCGGTCTCGACACACGTAGCACCTCTTACACATCCACCATGGTTAGCCCAACCAAACCCCCGCCGCCCAATGCATCCACCATCAGCAGCTTCACCATTGCCCCCATCTCCGAAACAGCCACTGACACCACCGACTTTTCCTGTCTCTGTGCATTCATCTCACACATCTGCCTCGTCGGTCACTCGCGAATCCATAATACGATAACTGGCGAACTAGTGCCTGGAACCGCCACACACACACACCGCAACCACCTTAACTGCCCTCAATGCACCCGCGGATTCACTCACTGCATGGGCCTATAAGGCCACATGCACATTTGCGGAAACCTGCGGTAGCGAACCTACGGCTAAACCACACCACCACATCTTCCCCACCCACATCACACCCATCGCAAGTACTCAATTGTCACCTCCCATGCAAGTGGCAAGTGTGCGTCTCGGCTCCGTCTCCATGCGGCTCCTCTGCTGCACGTGTGACCCGAGTCCGAGACTATCATGGTGCGTCCAGCGCCGTGGCTTGGAAGGCTGCTGGCTGACGCCCCAACTCACTATACGTAGTCTGCCCAGTTGTATGTGTATGTGTGGAGTGGCGGACTGATGGGATGAGAACCAGGATGTAACGGCTCCACACTGAGGTAGTTATTTCCCATATTTTGTTTATGCACAGCATTTTATAATAATTATATTTCTTTAACATTTCCTGAACTTTCACTTATTCACTTTCGGTTACACGGATGCTCCAACTGGTGTGAGTTTCTGTCCCACAAAACTGGCTTTTCACCCACTGCCATTGTTCTTCACTGGACAGGGTTGACAGTTAAGTCATTTCTAGCGTGGTCGTTTCACTTGGCTTCTCGGAACTTGGTCTTAACGGGGGATCGTGCTATGGATTGACCCTGCCCGTTAAAGTGGTGATGTAGCGGACAGGCGTGAAGGAGTTTGACTCGGTTTTGTTTTAATAGTCTGTTGCGCCAAGTTTGAGTGAGCGGTGCCTAATGCGAGACTGTTTTTCATTCCCTATCATTTGTCCTCAGTGGAGGTGAGCGAAGAAACCAAACCCTCTTCCCCACTGCCATCTTCCAACTCCACCCTCCCCGGACAATTGTGAGGATAAAATTTCTTTGAACAGATCGACTCTTCCCAACAGAAGCGAACAGACGAGTCCCAGGAAGCAGTCTTGAAGAAGAAGACACGATCGCCGGGACAAGAACTTTATTAGCCTGACGTTTCGGATTCCTGCTCGAATCCATCATCAGAGACATAAGCAGATAAGGGTGGTTCATGCACATGCGGCTGCAGTATTTATAGGATGCAGTAGCCATGCTACCGCATACCTATGAATATTCACGGCTCCCTCCCCTTCATCAGGGATCTTTGCACGTGGCGTGATTGCCGATATTCGCGTCGTTAATTGCTGCAATTTCATCACGTGCGTTGGATGTTGGCGTGATGATTGCTCGACCATCTGACGCGCTGACCCGTGTGTTGGGAAGAGTGTTCACCAGTGCGCTCCCCGCGTGGCCAATTACTCCGCCTAGACGAAGTCTCAGCACGCTGTATTGAATGGGAAGATCATTGCACTTGTTGATAGACTGGGGGCCAGTAAACCATGACTCAAGCAGCTCCCGGCTCACGCGGTTGTTACCTCTTGCGAGAATTTCGGCCTCGTCAAATTTGTAATGTGTGCCTGGAACACGTCGAATGAGCCGCAACTTGAGGGCTGGCGTCATTTCTCCGCACTGCTGCAGCGTGTTTGGCCATTCGCGTTCGGAGCTGTCTTCCGGTTTCTCCGACGTAGTTGCTTTGTCCGCAACTGCACCAGATACGATAAACGACTCCAGACGTTTCTTGCCGCGGCAATGGGCCTTTTGGTTTCACCAACTGACGCCTGATGGTTGCCTCCGGCCTGTGTGCAACTCCAACCCCAAGTGGTGCGAGAAGGCGGCCAACAGCTTCCGAAACGTTCTTGACATATGGAAGCGCTCGCCAAACTTTGGTGTCCGTACGGTTAGGCCTTTCGTCCATTTTGCGTATGCACCAGTTGACAAAGTTGCGCGGGTAGCCATTGGCTTTGAAGACCCGTCGTTGTTGGCCTTGAAGAACTCAGGTGCAATAACATCGACCGACAGACGCATGGCGAGACCCCAAGATACGGCTTTGACCCGATTCTATGGCCTGCCTAAGGTGCACAAAGACGGCGCTCCTCTCCGACCCATCGTGTCGCTCAAAGGTACTCCAGCGTACGGACTGGCTAAGTGGCTGTTCCGGCGTCTCAAGTTCCTGACCGCTGAGTCAGACACCACGGTCTCTTCGTCAGCACAATTCCTGGAGAAACTCAAAGGGGTAAGCCTCCATCCAAATGAGGTCATGGTATCTTTTGATGTTACATCCCTTTTTACTTCTATTCCCCAGGACGTGGCGATCGAGACAATCGAGCTGCTTCTACAAAGCAAATACGATGAAACAGAGAATCGTCTTGGACGCGCCCACGTCCTTCAGCTGCTGAAGTTCTGTCTCAGGACGTACTTCACGTTCGACGGGACAATCTACGAACAGGTGAAGGGCACACCAATGGGTTCGCCGATTTCGGGTTTCATCGCAGAGGCGGTCCTGCAACGGTTAGAGTCGCTGGTCTTCCAACACCACAAACCAAAGTTCTGGGCCCGGTATGTGGATGATACCTTCGTCGTTATCGATCGTTATCAACTGCTGATATTCAAGGAACTTCTGAATGCGGTCTTCCCGGACATACAATTTACGATAGAGGAGGAAGAGAACAACCAGCTGACCTTCCTGGATGTCCTCGTATGCCGCAAGGATTGTGGTGGACTAAAGACCAAAGTGTTCAGGAAAGCGACAAATACGATGCAAGTACTGAACTTCAACAGCAACCACCCAATCAGTCACAAACGCAGTTGTGTAAGGACGCTCTATCGGCGTGTCGAAACGCACTGCAGTGAGCCGGAAGACAAAATTGCTGAACTACAATAACTCCGACGGGTGTTCAAAGCCAATGGCTACCCGCGCAACTTTGTCAACCGGTGCATACGCAAAATGGACGAAAGGCCTAACCGTACGGACACCAAAGTTTGGCGAGCGCTTCCATATGTCAAGAACGTTTCGGAAGCTGTCGGCCGCCTTCTCGCACCACTTGGGGTTGGAGTTGCACACAGGCCGGAGGCAACCATCAGGCGTCAGTTGGTGAAACCAAAAGACCCATTGCCGCGGCAAGAAACGTCTGGAGTCGTTTATCGTATCTGGTGCAGTTGCGGACAAAGCAACTACGTCGGAGAAACCGGAAGACAGCTCCGAACGCGAATGGCCAAACACGCTGCAGCAGTGCGGAGAAATGACGCCAGCCCTCAAGTTGCGGCTCATTCGACGTGTTCCAGGCACACATTACAAATTTGACGAGGCCGAAATTTAGGCAGAAGGATATTACCGACAAAGACAAGGGAGACTGGAATGGCCATTTCTGGCATATTAGCCGTCGTCAGCCAGCCATACCCAAGCCCGAAGTGTGGAACACCCGAGCCTCGAACTCGCGACCTGTTGGTTTAGAAGTCAACGCCTCTACTCACCGGGCCACGAGCCCGTTGCCTTGTCAGTTTTCGATCGGGAATATACAGTGTTAGGGGGCGCTCACCGATCGTTCTCGCCGCCGAAATTCTAGCAAGAGGTAACAACCGCGTGAGCCGGGAGCTGCTTGAGTCATGGTTTACTGGCCCCCAGTCTATCAACAAGTGCAATGATCTTCCCATTCAATACAGCGTGCTGAGACTTCGTCTAGGCGGAGTAATTGGCCACGCGGGGAGCGCACTGGTGAACACTCTTCCCAACACACGGGTCAGCGCGTCAGATGGTCGAGCAATCATCACGCCAACATCCAACGCACGTGATGAAATTGCAGCAATTAACGACGCGAATATCGGCAATCACGCCACGTGCAAAGATCCCTGATGAAGGGGAGGGAGCCGTGAATATTCATAGGTATGCGGTCTTGCCTGACTTCTGATCTGAGAGTCTTGGTCTTTCGACCACACCACTTCCGACAATGTATTCGTATTGGACGATACCTCCTTAGGCCGCACCGTAGTTATTGGGCATAGCATTGACGCAGGCACGTCGAAACCCCTGTGGCAACCCCCACGCCGTATTCCACCATGCTTTCGAAAGGAGGTGAGTAACCTAATCCAAACGATGCTGGCCTCGGGGATAATTCGACCCTCCAAGTCACCCTGGGCATCGCCAGTCACCTTAGTGCCCAAAAGACGATAAACTTTGGTTTTGCATTGATTACCGACGACGTAACGCGGTCACTACCTGCGACTCATTTCCACTTCCGCGAATTGATGTCACACACGAAGCGCTAGCCGGAGCCCAGGGGTTTTCAGCGTTAGACCTCAAACCTGGTTATTGGCATGTAGAGGTTGAAACCAAGGGCCGCCCAAAAATTGCGTTTATACTTCTACAAGGACTTGTGGCGGTTCGCGTCTCCTCACCCTCCGCCTTTGTCACGCTGCCGTCCTGTCCGCCTCACACTCCGTGTCGAGACGCTGCTGGGACGCGCGAGTGCTCGAGGCCAATCAACGCTGTCCCCACTCTGATTGGCTGGCGACGTGGAGACAACGAAGGGCACACACACGCGCTAATACAACACCTCGAAGGCGGACACAGACAACAGCTTGCTTGGCGCGCGCTCGCGGCAACTGCCTACAGAGCCCTTGTGTACGCACTTTCTCAGGCAATAAAGGTTGTCCAACTGAAACCGTCTTCCTTGACTTTTGATTGGGAATCTTTATCTTGTCGACCACACGACCTTCGACAATTGGTGACTCCTTACGAACAGCAATCTTCGTTCTTCCTAATCTACGACAAAGTTAGGTGTGGATCAAGGACAATTTTCCACCAGAAGTGCAGCATATTTTGGCACCCGCCTTCGGCATTCTTTCGGCCACGCAACTTACTCAGATGGCTGATCGTCTTATGGAGATGCACGGTTTTTCCAAGCCGTCTATTTCAGCACTCTCAACTCCCTCAACTCCTCCTGCGTCTCCCGTTTCGCAGTTAGAGATCGAGCTCAACAAGCTGGCCGATGATATAGCCGCTCTCCAGAAGCCCACAGTGTGTACCTCATCTCGGAGCCAACCGCAGCCGTCCACCCCGCATGTCCAGTCTTCTCATTCAGCCAGTCCAAACGCAGCTGCCACCTGCTGGTACCACAGTACTTTCGGTGCTAAAGCCCGTCGCTGCGTCTCTCCTTGCTCCTTCACTTTCAAGCAGAACAAACGGGTAAAACCGGCCAGCCGGAAGGTCAGTGCAAGCAGTCTTTCCGACAGCTCTAACCCTGGTCGCACATTTTACGTACGCGACACCCGGAGTGGCAGACGTTTCTTGGTTGACACTGGTGCCCAGCTAAGTGTCATTCCACCCACACCAGCTGATCGTCGGTGTCCCAATCCCGGTCTTTTCCTACAGGCCGTCAACACATCGCCGATTACCACATTTGGCACCTGCTCCCTCTCTCTGGACATCGGTCTCCGGCGTCTCTTCCCTTGGGTCTTCGTCGTTGCTGACATCCCCTGCGCAATTCTCGGTGCAGATTTCCCCGCCGCTTTCGATCTTCTGGTCGACTGCCGTCAGTCACGTCTACACGACAAGACCACCAACCTCACTGTCCGGGGTATCTCTTCCTCCGACGCTTCCCGTCATCTTGCCGTCTTGGACCCTGAACCCGAGAATCCATTTCGACAACTCCTCGCCAAATACCCCGGCCTCACTCGTCCCAACTTCAACGTTTCTATTCCACCACATGACGTTGTTCACCACATTCGGACCACCGGTCCTCCCGTGTTTTCTCGCCCCCGCCGTCTCGCGCCTACACTTCTTGCTGCCGCCAAGGCCGAATTCGAGCATATGCTTCAAATGAACATCATCCGTCAGTCTGAAAGCCCATGGGCCTCACCCCTCCACATGGTTCCAAAGGCCGCCACTGGTGACTGGCGTCCCTGCGGTGATTACAGGGCCCTGAACAACGTTACTGTCCCGGACCGCTACCCTGTCCCACATCTTTAGGATTTTGCCGGTAGCCTATTCGGCAAGTCTGTATTCTCGAAGATCGATCTCGTCCATGCTTTCCACCAAATTCCCATAACCCCAGAGGACGTTTCGAAGACGGCCGTTACCACCCCCTTTGGTCTCTTTGAGTTCCTGCGCATGCCGTTTGGACTCCGCAACGCCTCCCAGACCTTCTAAAGGTTCGTAGACAGAGTGCTTCGCGGCTTACCGTTTGTCTACGCCTATATCGACGACCTTCTGGTAGCCAGCTCCACCGCCGAAGAACACATGGAGCATCTGGCAACGGTGTTTGACCGCCTTCAACAATTTGGCGTTGTTCTAAACCCGTCCATGTGCGTCTTCGGTGTGCCTTCCCTATAATTTCTCGGTCATCTGGTCGACTCCCACGGCATTCGGCCTCTTCCCTCAAAGGTTGCCGCCATTCGAGACTTTCCACCTCCTACCTCGAAGCGTCAGTTGCAACGGTTTCTTGGTATGGTGAACTTTTATCGCCGGTTTCTCCCGAACTGTGCCGATACCATCCTTCCTCCGACCAATCTCCTCTCAGGTTCTAAACGCACCTTTGAACTTACACCAGCAGCACTCACGTCATTTGAGCAGGTAAAAGCCCTTCTGGCTGATGCCACCCTCCTGACTCACATTCATGCTGATGCACCCATATCTTTGATGGTCGATGCCTCCAATGTCGCTGTTGGCGCGGTTCTTCAACAAAGTCTGCCGGATTCTACCGTGCCTTTGGCTTTCTTCTCCAAGAAACTATCCAAAGCCGAAACCCGCTACAGCACATTCGGACGTGAACTTCTCGCCGCTTATCTTGCCGTAAGGCACTTCCGGCATTTACTCGAAGGTCGAGAGTTCACAATTTTCACTGATCATAAGCCACTCACGTTTGCAATGCATTCCCACTCTGACAAGCTAAGCCCCCGGGAGATCCGTCACCTGGACTACATTTCGCAGTTCACTTCAGACATCCGCCATATTGACGGGTCACGGAATGAGGTGGCTGACGCACTGTCCAGGCCCTCTATTGATCATCTTCAGCTTTCACCCGGGATAGACCTCGCTGAGATGGCCGCTAAACAACGCCGTGTCGGTCCACCCTGTGATGAGGATGCTTCCGGACTCCAACTTCAGGAACTACCACTGACGACTGGCAACGGCACCATCTTATGCGACGTATCCACCCCTTCCCATCGTCCATTTGTGCCACCATCCCTCCGCCGTAAAGTTTTCTCCTCCCTGCACAATCTCTCTCACCCTGGGAGTCGAGCAACCGACAAGCTGGTTTCCGCCCGCTTCGTCTGGCCTGGTATGCACAAGGACCTCAAGGCATGGACACGGGCTTGCATCGCCTGTCAACGGAGCAAGATCCAGCGGCACAACAAGGCCCCCATTGGCACCTTCCCCGGCCCTGGTTCAAGGTTAAGCCACGTTCACCTGGACATTGTAGGCCCCCTGCCTCTGTCCAATGGTTGTTCCTATCTCCTCACCCGTGTGGATCGGTTCACTCGGTGGCCTGAAGCTATTCCTTTGCCGAATGTTCAGGCTGAAACTATCGTGAAGGCCTTCGTCAGTCGTTGGATCGCCATGTTCGGTGCCCCATCCACGGTTACGACTGATCGTGGTGCCCAGTTTGAATCGGCACTCTTCCAGACGTTACTCAATTTCCTTGGCTGCACACGCATTCGGACGACAGCCTACCACCCAGCTGCCAACGGTATGGTGGAACGTTTTAATCGTCAGCTAAAGACCGCCCTGCGTGCCGTAGAAGACCCAGGAGACTGGTCGGACAACCTTCCCCTTGCACTCCTCGGCATCCGCGCAGCTCTGAAGTCGGATCTGGGCTGTAGCACAGCTGAATTGGTTTTCGACTCTACCCTCCGACTGCCAGGCGAGATGATCACTCCAACCTCTCGTGGCGCCGACGAGACTCCTGACAATCTTGTGCACCGTTTGCGGCAATTTATGCGCTCGCTTTCCCCGGTTCCCCCTCGAACCCCAATGACTGAGTCTTATGTCGAAAAAGACTTGGACAAGTGTACTCATGTGTTCGTCCGGTGTGACCGTGTGCGCCAGCCGCTGGAATCACCATACGAAGGACCGTTCCGCGTGCTCGCGCGCAACACCAAGACCTTCCGGATCCTTCGCAGTGACAAGGAGGACGTGGTCAGTGTCGATCGGGTCAAGGCTGCTGTCGCAGAGGAGCCGCCGGACCTGTCACAAGGACAAAAATGTGCTGACCCCCTAACCCCTGTTCCTCCATCTTCCCTATCCCGTGCTCATTCACCCTGCCCACTACCTCGCCCTTCCCATCCCTTGCCCTCTATCCCTCCGTCCCGTATACTTCCTTTGCCCCCATGTCCGCAACCCACAACTGCAACTACTCCTTCATCAACCAACAACACTGTAACCGCGAGCCATACTCACTCTACTCCTGTGCCCCCTGTATATATCACCCGTAGCGGACGCCATGTTCACTTTCCTGACCGTTTGGTCACTCATGTTTTTTAGATATCAACAGTTCCTTCGGCATCGCTACGCTCCGCCTTCGGTCTAGCCGGGGAGTACTGTGGCGGTTCGCGTCTCCTCACCCTCCGCCTTTGTCACGCTGCCGTCCTGTCCGCCTCACACTCCGTGTCGAGACGCTGCTGGGACGCGCGAGTGCTCGAGGCCAATCAACGCTGTCCCCACTCTGATTGGCTGGCGACGTGGAGACAACGAAGGGCACACACACGCGCTAATACAACACCTCGAAGGCGGACACAGACAACAGCTTGCTTGGCGCGCGCTCGCGGCAACTGCCTACAGAGCCCTTGTGTACGCACTTTCTCAGGCAATAAAGGTTGTCCAACTGAAACCGTCTTCCTTGACTTTTGATTGGGAATCTTTATCTTGTCGACTACTCGACTTTCGACAGACTCTCTGAATTCGAGACGATGCCCTTTGGGCTATGTAACGCGGCTGCTACATTCCAACGCCTAATGTAGTCCGTACTAGCCCACTTATACACAAAGAGCTGCCTGATATACCTTGATGACGTCATCGTGCTTGAACACATGGCCCAGCAACACAACGAGAATCTCGCTGCTGTTCTCTCCGCTCTGCCTGATGCCGGCCTACGTCTAAACCCACAGAAATGTGCGCCGCAAAGTCACATTCCTCGGCCACGAAGTCAGCAAACAAGACTTACAGGCGTCACAGGAGAAAGTAGAAGCGGTCAGATCATGGCCCACACCGAAGACACCCCCGGAGGTAAGAGTCTTCCTTGGTCTAGCCTCCTACTTTCGCCAGTTTGTCCTCCATTTCGCGGAGGTAGCACATCATCTTCACCGTTTGACGGAAAAAGGCCGCCCGTTCACCTAGTCGGACGATTGCCAACTTGTTTTCGACGAGTTAAGGGTAAAACTTATTACGGCACCTATATTGATGCTACCGGACACGCGACCTGAAGCTCTGCCCTTCATCCTTGTTAGCAACGCCAGCGGGTTCGTGATCGGGGGCGTACTCTCACAAGCCAACGAGACAGGGGTCGAGCAACCAATTTGCTTCGCTAGAAGACCTTTATCTAAGCTGGAGCGCAACTACTGCACATACTGGCTAGAACTGATGGCCCTTATTACTTTTATTAATCAATTCAGACCGTTCTTATTGGGAAGACACTTCATCGTTCGTACTGACCACAAGGCATTGCAGTGGCTACAAAATATGGAGGAAGTCGAAGGCCAGCTGGCAAGATGACAGAAGTTACTATAGGAATTTACTTTCGTCTGTCAATATCGACCTGGCCACTAACACTCTAACGCTAACACAGTCTCTCGCCGACCGCCTAATGCCGGCACATTGGACACGGACGAGGCGGATAACCACATAGACGCTAGCACAATCAGCGAACCCACTCGCTATCATTGGGCAGTTGCACAAAGCACAGGCCCGGACACGGCAATAATATACGACCACCAACTGCATAGACAGCATGGGACAACGGACGTCGAACTCCGTGGCTCCTCGGAAATAGCTCGCGTTTTATGCCACCAATGGGTCAGTCTGTTCATGGAGAACGAACTGTCTTTCTTTATAGACGCAGCACCTAGTCAACCGCGTCCGGTTGTTTCGAGCAGCCTAGTTATACCCGTCCTCACGGACCTCCACCATGAACACGGACATGTGAGACTGACTAAAACGGAAGCGGCGGTTAGGCAGCGTTTTCGGTGACACCGACTGCGAGAGCAAGTCGCCACTTTCTGCGGTGCCTGCTCTACCTGCGTCTCCTTCAAGGACATTATCTCACGAAATCGAGCACCTTTGCAGCTTGTGGTCACAGACTTCCCATTTGAGCGGATAGGCGTGGAAATAGTGGGTCCATTACCTTACATCCCGTTCGGCCAACGTTACATCTTAGTGTTGGTAGACTATTTTACGAAGTGGGCCAAAGCTATCCCCTTAGGATGGTGAGATGCAGCTTCGGT